TATAAAGGAGCTCTGGTAGCGTAGTGGTTACGAATCAGGCTGCGAACCTTAAGGTCAGCAGTTTGAAACTACCAGCTGTTCCGCGGTAGAAAGATGAGGCTTTCTGCTCCTATAAAGATTTACAGCCTCGGAAACCCTGTACAGGGTCACTATGGGTAGGCACCCACTCGATGGCACTTAACAACAACAACATATCTAAGAAAAGAAGCCCAGAGATGCTATGGTTAGGTGCTCAACTGCTACCCAAAAAAAAAGGTTGGCAGTTTGAACTCACCCAGTGGCTCTACCAGAGAATGACCTGGCCATTGGCTTCCATAGAGATGGCAGCCAAGAAATGCCGATGGACCAGTTCTACTCTGGCACATGTGGTCACTATGAGTCACAATCGACTCCACAGCAGCAGACTTTGTAAATCATTTTCCTAGCCATCATTATGATCTTCATGACCACATCACGGAACAGAAAGGATTGCTAATAATAATAATGGCAGTAGCCACTAGAAATGGAATGGTAACAGTACCTCCTATCCTTTTTAAATTATGACCTGTGTGACTTGTGTTTTAATTATGTTATCTAGTTAAATAAAATCCTCCCAATACCTCTATGAGATAGATACCGTTTTCTTCATTTTACAGATGACGACTCTGAGACTTAATAGAGTGTGCATAACTTGTCCAAGCTCAGTAGCTAGTAGGCGGCAGAGCTGTATCCAAAGCCCTAAGTATGAAGTCAATAGCTCGCTGCCTCTTGCTGGGCCTATGACCAAGCAGAATGAGAAGAATCTTCAATTCTCAGGTTTTTGACTCTCAGTGTAATTTTTCTGAGCTTTCTAGTATCACAGATTGTATTAAACCCCATTGCTATCAAGTGTGGCACTGTAAGATAAGCACTATACTGCTAGTCACAAAATTGGTGGTTGAAACCAACCAGTCTCTCCTCAGAAACCCTTTACAGAGTCTCTATGAGTCAGAACTGACTTGATGACACTTAACAACAACACCCCTTGAGTCAATTCCTACTCATAGTGACCCTATGCAGGGTTTTTGAGGCTGTAAATCTTTATGAGAGCAGAAATCCTCCTCTTTGTCTGAGGAACAGCTGGTGGACTTGAATTGCTGACTCTGTGGTTAGCAGTCTAACCCATATCCTATGCCACTAGGGCTCCTTACAGACTAAATCA